TCCAACCCAAACCACTCTAGGATTCTATGACCATTCCCCATACAAGTTCTAGAGGTACAGACATAACCAGAGGACTAGAAAACGATCAAAGGTCCAGCATTCCTACCTGAAATTATAGAAATCCATATGGAAAGCTTAGAATACAACCATAGACTCTGGCCACCTATAACTAATCAAAAATTAAGATGACTAATGGTCACCCACAGGGTAGCACAACTCTGCATAACACAGATTTCTAGCTGGAGATGGAGAACAGCTTCCTTCATTTATCCATTTTCACAACTTCCAACATCCCTGTAACACCTCTTAATGGTGTTCTGCTTTAGTTGCACCCTGTGGGATATGGACATGAGAGGATTCTTACTGTTCTCCCAGTAGGCGGCTGAACTTCTGTCTTGCCAGATCCATTAGTCCATCCACCTCCTCCTTGGAGCGTTTGAAGTTCTCAATGCTAAAGGCATAAACAGTGACCTCCTGAATGCCCAGATTCAAGCACCACCGTAGTGTCTGCAAGAAGATAAAATATAATGGAAAAAAAAGGTCAGATCAGCAGATCCAGACAAGTCAGCAAGATCCAGCTTCTCCACTGCTAGAACATTCCTGTTGTTTCCCACTATGCCAAGACTGACTCAAAAGAAACAACCATCAAGAGCTGACAACAAAACCCACTTGATGAGAATTTCAGATTCATCTTAAAGACCAGGAAGGAAATATCACTGTCTAAGGATGTGAATCCACAAGAGACATGGGACTAATCCAGCCAGGGAAGGCACTTCTTGTAGATAACATTATAAATTATACAATACTGCACTTTTCAAGACCTTTTCAAAGAAATTCAACCTGCTTCACAGAACTAAAAGCTTCCAGATCTGCAAGGCAGATATTTTAATCGAGTGTAAAACAGAGAGAGGGGGGGAAAACAGCTGATTGGAATGACTCTGCAAGATAACAGGGACAGAGAGAGAAGCTGAGGTTGGGAACCCTGATGACTAACATCAGCTCAAAGCACAGGCCTGACCCCAGTGGAGAAAAGGAACACAATACACCAGCCAAGCAGCAAACACAGTCAGCTGGTGGACATGGCTCACACTTTCAGCACACAATTTCAAGGCAGCAAACATCCTTCCCACCTGTGCCAGCTTATCAAAGCCTTGCGAATGCCCCTGCTGCCTCTCCACGTGACACTTTTGGGCATAACGGCGGTTGCCATCCATGATGAAGGCGACATGCTTGGGCATTGGACCTGCCTAGAGAACAAGGAGAAACAAAACAGACCAGAGAGGCAACAGCCAGGCTGGCATCTTGCATCGCAGAGAGTTTACTCCCACCCATCCCGGCAGCACTGTCTCTTTGCAGGAGTGCAGCACAGATCTCCCGCTTCAAGGATGGAGCTGGAAAGAGCAAGATGCTAATTCCTTCTTTGCCAACCCAAATTTAGGCTCCCTAATAAAGCACGTCAGTATTGACAATTGCCTAAACTGAAAAGCAGCTTTGCCCTCCCCGCTTCTGTTGTGTGGCAGAGAACTGCAGTACTTAGGAGAGTTTTACGCTGCTGTAATTTTAAGTATTTTTTATTTCAGAGTTCAAGGGCATTTTTACAGACATAATTAACTTAAAAAAAAGAAAAAAAAAGTCATGAGACTTCCTCACTTAAAAGGAGTATTCCTTTCCACTGACCTCATCAGGTCTGCACAGATCCTTTTGCGAGAAGGACAGCATCACCAGTCTCAAGACTCAGCTGAGCAAGGACAGAATTTTCCTGGAACTGGTGGGTGATTATTCCCATCAAGAGAAACTCAGTTTCATTTCTTAGACTTGTAATCCGACCACCTTGCTTCTCTCCCTCCTTCCCATGCCCTGCCTTCATCAGCAAGGGCACAAAACACGGCAGCCCGGAGTGTAAGCTCATTACTGGCAAGCGCTGTCTGCAGCCCTGCTCATTTGCAAGACGAAGCTTAAGGAATTTTCCATCCTCAAACGTCGTTTAGGGATGTGCATCCAGTGCCAGCATTACCACGCACCTGTGCGAGCACCACCATCGTTCTAGAGCGGCACAGTCGCAGAGACAGTCCCACTCGGAGCTCACCAACTCTCTACCACAGGTAACCAAATTCAGTCCTCACCTTGATGATGTTGGCACAGAATCTCTCGATGATGGTCAGCTCACCTTCTCGGATCCACGACATGTCTCACCAAGAGCTCCTCTTCTTTCCCAAAGGAACGATGAAAACAAAGGCGTTAGACGTACAAAAGATTCTGTTTGAGCCCCAAGCAATACTACAAACAATCACCTTGGAAAAATAAGCTTTGACTCGCTGATCTGGAGCCTTTTATCATCTGTACAAGTACCTCGACAGGCAGATGTTGGGGGAGCTCAGAAATGAGCTCTGGATTTTTCCAGCTAGAATTCAAGAGTGGATTCTGCACTAGCTGGTAGCAAGAAAAAAAAAAACATTCCTGCATCTTCCAGCCGAACCAGTACAGATCCTCAATTTGGGCCACCACCAGGCGAGTCACAGGGGGGCAGCAGCGCAAACTGACCTTCAGTGCTTTTGTGCTGGTGTTGTTGGAGACCCTTCAAATGAAGTAACCACCTGCATCGCCAGCTACCCTGCACTTCTGCCACCACTGGTATTTCTTTTCCTTCACAAGTAGGAAACTTTACCCTCTGGAGCTGTAAAAGCACTGGGTTTTTTACCACTTTCCCTGCACACTAAATTCCACATTAATCTTCAAATCTCTCCGCCGGGAACCCTGAGTGCCATGGGCAAAGAGGTGCGGAGAGAGCGCTGTGGGGGCGACAGTCCGGATCCGACCACCCGGTGCCCATCTAGGGACCGAAGTGGATTCTAATTACACCGATTGCCTTCATTTTCCATACGGCCCTCTCCGCCTCTTCCCTCAGGAAGGACGT